ATCATATTGGAAAGTGCAAGTCTAAGGCATTTTCCTGGCATTTTATTGGTTAGGGCACCTAGTGCAAGACCTTGTATGTCATTTTAAGTCTCTGGAATTTTACTGTGAGAAAGATGGAAATTATTGGAGGGTTCTGAACTGAGAAAGGTCAGCAACTGACTTTGTTCTTAGCAAACATCTCATGGAAATGTAACAGGTAAAAACTACTCTACCAACTTGGGTTACATTTCTTTCTTTTATTTTTCCAGTTAATTGCTTGAGCCTCTCCATGCCTCATTATCAAGAAGTGTGGTGTCTTTTGGCTGAGACTCTCATTCCATCTCCCCAAATTGGTCAGAGACTATGGAGACTTTATTCAAACATCACGTGGAAAGAGAACAAGTGTAGCTCAGTCCGCAAACACAATTGCTTCTTGCTGCCAAATGGTGTCTCTCTTGAACACTGGTCCTGTGCAGCTGGGTGGATAGACTGCTGCTGGGATGCCCTGGTTGGTCCAGAGCCTTTCTGGGGCTCCCTGGTGCCGCATAATTGAGTTCCAGGGTTCTAGCTTTTTCCAAGTTCATATGCTGGTGTTTGATCACTGTTTCCCTCACAGGGTAATGTGAGAATTAAATGGTTAGTACAGGCAAAGAATTTGGAACAGTGCCTGGCATAGTTAAGTGCTCAATAAATACTAGTTGTTTTTATTAGACCCTACAGTACCACCTCTATACAAGTGTGAGTTGGTGCATATGTTCCCATCTCCAATACTTCTCCAAGAAACTGTAGCCCTTATTGTGAGTGGGAGGGGATAGTGGCAACATCCGCGTTTCTCGAGGTAATTTTATTTCAGGGGCTTGTTTCCTCTCTGATCCACCAGAACAGGCCTCCCTGATTGTGGTAGTCACTCTGGAGTGTCACCCAGACTCCTCTTCAAAGAGGTAACCCCTAGTGAAGCTGCACTCTAGAGCTGAGGCTGACCCTGAAGGAGCTGCAACGGGAGGCAGACGGAGTGTGGTCAGCAGAGAGCTTCAGCACCAGGCCCTTCAGGGTCAGCCTCAGCTATAGAGGGCCCCTCTGCCTGAAGTCATGCCATTTCTGGGGCAACCCGGGGCATCTGGGAGGGATGGGGAGGGAAGCATAAAGGTCTAGACATTTTGGCCTATTTTGGGGTGCTCTGAAGGGCAATTCTTGGTTCGCCTAGTTGCCAAGGCTATATTGGGCCTGATTTCCAGTTCGACTTCTCCTCCTGCTCAGTCGTGTTTCCTCCCACGTCCTTTCTCAGATGTTGATCCCTAAGAAACATTTTCCACTGCAAACTCTGTGTTACTGTCTATCTGCATAGAGCTCAGCCTGTTACATTCATTCTAAGGTCAGGTATTGGGTCTTCTACCTCATCTTCTCACAAGATCGAGGTCTCCTTATACAAACAGGTCGCCCAGGCATGAGCACTGAAGACCAGGGAGTATGGTGAAGGGTGGCCTCTGTCAGGCCACAAGACAGCCACAGCATTCTTATTCCAAGGAAATGATGCCAGCTTGCCTAGTATTTACATAGTGCTTTCTCCCTGGACCAATAGAGTTTAAGGCATCCCGTTGTTTCTTCCTACTCAAAGGAATGGGTGGTGGCTTCTGTCACCTCATTATACATTTTACTGATTTGTTATTAGTCTGCTTCTCCCACTAGCTTGGGAGTTCCCTCTTTCCTTGAGGATAAGGAATATCTTACTCATCTCTATATCCCCAGTAACTGGCACAGAGAAGGATCCGATAAATGTGTGTTGAAGAAATGCCCACAAGTCTTATTTCCTCTTCTGGACTGTGATAGCCTTAAGGATGGGACTCATGTCTTATCCCTGTTTGGTACTCCAAGGCCCAGGGATGACCACAGAAAGTGCTAATTAATGATTATTAGATAGATGAATGGATGGTTGAATGGATGGATGGATGCCACAAAGGCTGACTGCTCAAGGGCAGAAGTAGACTATAAATGTCCCCAGTGCACTAGGAAGAGTACATAAAGCTACGGGTAGGGGGCTATATTTCATGCAGAAAGGACAGTGTGAGTGTGGAACCCACCTATCATTTCTGCCCTCCCAGTACTGATGGCCCCTTTGGGAAGCACCTCCCTGGTTTCCCTCCGAGGAACAATCACTAACCTCAGTCCAGGTGGAACTGACCCCTTCCTATTCCCAACCTACAAGGGTGGGGTGGGCGCAGGACACAAGCCTGGCCACAGTGATTAGTCTGAGGACGGGCTCTTGGCCTGGCCAGGCCTATCAACGTCAGTGAGCCTCTGCTTCAGGATATTTGCTAGAACTTATGGGAAAGAGAACAGAATCTGTTGGGATACCTTTAGCTGCAATTACAAAATAAAATAAAAACAAAACTAAAATAAGCAAAAAACTTAACAGGTTTAAATGAGAGAAAATGCATTATTTCATATAACAGAATTCAAGAGCAGGGTAGCTTCAGGGTTGATTACTTTGCTCAACAATCTGATCAATGGCCCAGGTTCTCTCTCCTTCTGTTTGACCATCTGAAACACATCAGCCTTGTCCTCATGGTCACAAAATGGCTGCTGCAGAT